GGACTTTGCTCGAGTTCGAAGCTCTATAGACAAAAACCGACTAAAAATTCAATTCAAATTTCCGAAATCGATTTAACACCTCAGGTAGTTCTCTCGTTAAACAAACTTTTCTTTTAACTTTTTCTTTCCTCTTCATCACATATTTATTGAAAAACTAACTCAAATTTTTAAAGAAGTGGTGATTTCATCGATGATTCATATAAAAAAATAAAATAAATGATCGTTATCAAAAATTCTCAAAATTTTCGAGGAGTAGGACCAGGTCTCTAAAATCACCTGAAACCATAGGGTAGGGAGCACAAAAGATTTATACAGAGTAGAGCCATGCATCCGAAACAACTATCCTGTATATCTCTAGTTTACTAACTTGCCTGAATCACATTGAGTCTCCCCTCACGAAATCGCATTCTCAGCCGAGCTACTTCATAAATGCATTGTAGTTAAAATGATAAATATGGAAACAAATTGTATGTGTTTACAAGAATTAAATATAAAATAAAAAGTCTATAGAATCGTGATTAGTGTGGAGTTATGAATAAAATAGGACTAGACTAGTTTTAGTTGTACTGTAACTAACTATTTCTTCCTATTTTGCTCGTTTAAGCGTAATAACCTTGAATTTCAGTTAGTCTTCAAACATTACCGCAAAACATGCACATCCATAGAAAGGAATGTTATTACAAAAAGTTGTTTTTAAAACTAGTAAATATAGACAAGAGAGTCACGACTCAAAACATTTTCGAACCAGAAGTGATAAGTGGGTATTTTTAATACATTTCTCATATTTTCATGTAATAGGTATAAACGTCAGTTTAAGCGTCAGATGTAAGATATGAGGCTGCATTGCGTTTTCTTATCCCCTCCTTCGATTTAGTTAGTCTGAAGTGGCAACAATTTCAGCTCGCAACAGTCCCATGACAAACCTTGCTTCCAATAGGGACTCGTCCAATTTCTGACAGCTAAATAAACTGTTGACGGTTTATAAATGGTTGTCGCTCCCATGTGTGCAGTGAACCACGCTGTTCCATGTTTTATTAACATTTCTTGAATCGTTTCGTCAGTCCACGAGTAACAGATTAACGTGCCATGCTCGGGCACGGCAAGAAACTCGGTTGTTCCATCAATCCTTGCCGACGCGTCCAACCGCATTCTCCACGAGAGCTCATATTTTCCTGGAAGGATACTTTCCATTTTACCTGTTATTTCGAGCCAACAAACGTTGTTCAATTTGACAACACGGCCACTGAGACTATCGTTTGCACGTATTTCTCTCAGATAGTTTTCGTTATTCAAATGAACCACCACCATATCGGTGGTTGCGACTCGTTTTCGATCGATTAGATAGAAATAGATCAGTTTCATTAACGGAATATTCTTGCAATTCAAGCGGTTTGTCTTGTTGAATTGATAATATCGAACGTTCTCTCGAAACCAGTTTGGATCGAGGTGCATAGTCAAATGAATTACGGTCGTTTCATTGTAATCGGTAGCTGATTTGATTGCCGCTGCATCTAGTTCCCACTCAGAGCCTCTAGAGTTGAGAAAGCTAGGTCGCTGAACTTTGTTTTGTTGTGTTTTTTTGGTTTCTGTGGCTTCAGCTTTCTCTTCTTCAAATATATCATTTGTATATAATTTGGCAATAGAGTATGAGAATTTGAAACGTATGAGATGAGTCCAGAATGTGTCATTGTTAATAAACTGATACAAACAAGAACATGTTTGACTTAACTTTGAAAGATCATCATGAGATAGATGTTCACCGATCAAATAGAATAGTTCTGGTGGTAAGTCAAGTAGAAGAGAGCCTTTGACTGGATCATGTATAAAAGGCTCTGTTGCGACTGGATACTCCGCGGTGGTGACCAAATGTTCCTCAGTGGTTGCCTGATCTGAAGTAATTGAATGCAAAGACCGATTCACTGCATCTCTGTTTCCCTTGAAAATTCGTTTTAACATTATATAATCGAAAAGTGTAGGATGCTGTCTGTGAATGTCACGTTGCTTCTAATGAAAAATGATTACTTCTTTTTATTATATAACATAGAGAATACAAGAGATATTTCAAAGGTTTGTATTTTTATCATTTCTACTTAGAATAGCGAAGAAAGAATGTAAAAATGGACGAAAAGATAAAGAGAGAGCACACAAGAAAAGTATGATTACTATTACACAAATGTCAGTACAAAACGTGGATACAAAGAAGGGGAGAAAAGGGAGAGAATAGTCATATGGTACGGTTTTGTAACAAAAAAATCTCAGGTGAAACTGAGCTTAAAAGAGTTATCGAAACAAACTTAGGAATAGTATAATATGAAACTGCCTATGCCGACATTTTAATTTTTAATGCTAAGTTTTCTTGATACTTGTCTATCAACAGCAGCAATAGGAATAATAGAAAAGACATCCAGTAGTGCATTTGAAAAAAACCAATAAATCATATGTATTTCGAAAAAATTCAGATGATACATAATGCATTTTTAGACAACGAGAACGTTCTTTTTTACTTCTTTCCACAGTATTCATTTTTGGTTATGCTGAAATGATCTGAAACGAAATATTACCGCATGGAGAGGAAACTGGTTGTTTATTGGCAGGTGGTTAATAATGTCGCCGGGCTCAGCAACTTTAATAATGACGATGATTTTAGACGTTATACGAATGCACAATTGGAGGCATTCAAAGATGCACTCGCTGGATGGAAGTTCTGGTCATGGAAAATGTATGACGATAGCGATGAAACCCAGCGAAATGGATAGCCGATGAAAGTCATGCTAAAGCTCGGACTGATTCAATTGTGAAGTGAGAAACAGTCTTCCTTGCATCTTACCTAAGAGGATGAATGTTAGAAAGGACTTTGAAAAGGAGATGATGTATTGAATTGGCTTTCGAGATCATAGAAACTTCCAGAGTAAAGCTTTCTTTTTGAAATCAAACAAACCATATATCCTCGATGTCCACAATATAAAGTTTATTTCCTATGTTACCAGGACTGTTGTAAGCTTTATTTCAATAAACAAAAGAAATCCCAATTATAGTAGCTATCTTGACTATCCAACAAGGGGGCAACCCATTATAATCGGAGTAGTTGGAGATTACACCATTAGTTAAAAATAATCAAATCAGACAGCATAAACAGAAATTCGAGAAAAGAAGAAAGATACTTTAGACTGTAAATGCACTGGGCTTTATGAGCACCTCTCTCAGAGTGGATATGTTTCAACTTTATCATGTTACTGTTTTTTATTTGTTTGATAGCGTTCAGTTGGCGCTATATACTGAATAACTGCACGCTAAACTGCTATAAAATGTTCGTTTGGTAAGGAAACTTGCAATAATGATTAATCGAGACAGCAAGAGAGATTTGGGTCTATGGGTGAGATGGTGTTTTGTAATATTTTACGGAAAGAGCTATATAGCATGCAATTAATTATTGTCCTTCCAAAAAAAGGATGGTATATGGGTATTTTTTGAATAACTTTTAAATAGTAAAAGCTAGAGTGCTGTGGTTTTCGCATATGGAAAGAGGACTCTATAGAGCATCTTTTTACAAAGCGGAAAGCTTTTTAAAAAGTTTTTGAAAAACTGGCTTTTTAGAGGATCTTTGGAAACTTGTAGAAAACTCAAAATTTTTAAGTAGTAACCTATTGATTTTTTTATGTCAGTAGATAGAGGAAACTGTCCTCTTTAAAATGGGATCTAAGCGATCTCTTAAAAATCCTTTGTTTGGTCAGAGGGGTCTTTTTTTCCCTAAGGACCAGATTCCTATCTCAAAAATAAATACACTATCTTGTAGAAATACACCTTTTACATCTTCAATCGCTTCTATATTTGCGTCCAGCTGAAAGAGCGCCAAATGACATTAGTACTTTCGTTAGTTCTTCCGTAACCAGCTGATTATATCTAATAAAGAATATCTACGAAGAATGAGGTATGTACGATGAATTCTCTTTTCTTTTGGTCCATGTGCTCGTATTTCTCTTTCTGTGATAGCATCCACGATAGATAGAAAAGAATAGAGGTAGATTAGTGTAACAACGAATCATTTTCTTGTTCCAGCGATTTCTGATAAGCCATGCCTCGAACTCCTCGTATACTATGTGCTATGGATGAGAAAAGTTTTGATCCGGTTGAAAAAATGCGCAGCATCGGAAATGGTCTTTTATGGGTTTTTGTTGCAATTCGATTGTCAAAGTGGATCAGTTCGGAAGACTGTGTGTGTCCACGGTGGAAAGCGTTTTCTTTCGATCAACTATCCGAGACCAGTAAGAGTCGAGATTTCTCTCAATATCATCACTCAGACAGACCATTGGTTTGTCGCTCGTACGAGTCTCATTGAATCATTCGAAGACAGATGACTTCCCTCTTCCATCGCATGTCCTTGAGGATATTCAGATAGATCACCTCACACTAGAGGTTCCTACAGAAACATCTGTACGATCTTGCACACATCTCTGACACGTTTTCATGCCGTAAAGCATGACTTAACCACAAAAAAGTTCTTAATTATTCATTGTATTTCTCTATAATCTGTATTTATTATGTTTCATTTGAAATTCCATAATATGCACTCTTGTGATTGTCCTGTTGAAAAGAGACTTGTTACTAAGCAAAATTCTTCTTCCATCTTTCCCACCGTCAACATAGAATAACAAAAAACTTATAACAAGTTGTACGAATACAAACACAATGCTAAAAGACGAAGCTAAAAAAGTACGTTAAGTTCAAGTATCACAGACAGCTATATAACAGACATCAGTCAGTACATTCACGCATTACGTATAGACCGGAAAAACAGGAATATTTCAAACAGAGAATAATGAATGAAATTATTATCTTTCTTTGAGCAGTACAAAGTGATACTAAATCTGCTTTTTTCTGTCATATTTTCTACTCATAAGCCAAGCCGACCGGGCCCCAGAGCGCTCTAAGTCGATCCGAGCGGATTCAGACAAATCGGCGGACAGATCCTTCTTTCCTTATACGATCCAGCAGTTATCAGTACTACCCAGAATATACGAAAAAAACCTCCAGAATCGTTTAAAACTGATCTTCTTACCTCTTATTTGTTGTTGTTGAGATTTATGTTTACCATTCATAAACAGGGTCAATGTACGATCACTCTGTGATAAGAATAATAATGGGGATCAACTCCCTCTTTTCTTGTCATCAGTGGATGTTAATTCTCTATTGACAAAATAAATAAAGCTTATAAAAAAATTTGATAATGTTATTATATGTCAATACTTACTCAATGAGATTATTATTGACGATCAAGAACAAAATGTGACGAGAAAGGAAGAGAAGTATCTCAACGTCATTTTAAAGTACCTTGGGAGATTTTCAATTTCTTATAATCTATGGTTCATATGCACTCTAAAAAAAAGTCGTAGATTAAAAAACTGGAATCGTTTTGTAGACTTGCTAAAAAACCGTTTACAGTTTTTCATTAAAACTAAAAAATCCAAACTAGTTTTTTGTTCAGTAATAAACCGATGGTTTTTTATCCGAGGGTTTTTTGGTTAAAAAGAAAGATTATTAAAAAACTATCACGAGTTTTTTATCGATAATAAAAAACC